CTTGATCTACACATATATGTATGAAGTTACTTCTTTTGAAATTGATTACTTCCTTACATTCTTTGAAAGATTCCTACATTTATCTGTATCAAGATGGAGTACCTAGTAGAGAGCCAAAATATTTTCCAAACTGGAGAGATTTCAAAAAAATCCTGTATTTTGAGTCCATATGGATTTATGTTTGACAGTAAAATTTATAATACAAGTAATACACCTGAAACTTATTTAGAGGCACCATCATGCTCAAACAGAAGTAAATGGATGGCAGCTATTCAGTCAAAACTTGCCATCATGAAACAATATTAAGTTTGGGACTTCGTTCCAAGGAAATCTGGTATAACAGCAATACCTTTGAAATGGGTATTCATAGTCGAAGATCATGGTGTATGCCGTCTCTGTTATAGAGCTATTTCTTACCTTGTCAGTTTCAAAAAATGGGCATATAGAAGGATTGGATATAAAAACAGTTTTTCTGTATTGGAAAGTATTGATCTATCGTATGAAGAGTATATTGGTTGATCACAAGATGTGAATTATGATAAAAGTAAATTCGTTTGTAAGTGGAGAAAAGCACTTTATGGACTGGCAGTAGCACCAAATCATTGGTTTCCAACACATGAGGAGTACTTATGTATATCTGGGTTCGAATCCAATTCACGTGAACCATGCCTATATGTGAAAAAGAAAGACATCCATTCGATATTGCTCCTAGCACATACTCATAACTGAAAATTCTACTCAGATAATACATGATACTGTAAATTTATCAAAGTCACAATTTGACTTTTAACGTGTCGATTTTCCAGCAAGGTGTCTCGGATTGGAAATTATAAAGTATGACATCCTGCTATTTCTTCATCAGACTCAGTTCATAAAATCATAAAAAATATGTTGAAAAAATTCCGCATAAAAAATTCGAATACTATCGACACTCCATTGGTTCCTCAAGGAACACAAAATACCTGAATGCTTGCCGTCTCTGTCAGAGTTATTTCTTACCCACCATGTCAGTTTAAAAAAATTGGCATATAGAACGATTGGATATAAAAACAGTTTTTCTATATTGGAAAGTATGTATGTATGAAAAGTATGTTGGTATTCCACATGGTGTGAATTGTGATAAAACTAAGTTCGTTTGTGAGTGGAGAAAAGCACTCTATGGACTGGCAGTAGCATCAAATCATTGGTTTCCAACACATGAGGAGTACTAATGTAAATCTGGGTTCGAATCCAATTCACATGAACCATACCCATATGTGAAAAAGGAAGACAGCTAGTTGATATTGCTTCAAGTAAATGTTGATGACATACTCATAACTCATTAAAGTCACAATTTGACTTGAAACATGTCAATTTTCCAGCAAGGTTCCTTGGATTGCAAATCATAAATTCTGACACCCAGTTATTTCTTCATCAGACTCAGTTCATGAAAAATATATTGAAAAAATTTTGCAAGAAAAATTTTACCCGTGACCAATAATTGACTACACTGAATAATCGAACTCAGCTTTATTTCACTTTGAATACACAAATATTTCAACTTGAACTCCAACTATGATTTGGAAGTCTATCGCCTTACTAGATCACTTCGCATACCGCACTGTAACGTCCACTTGACTGTCCCGATATGCTCGTGTCTATCGTAATCGAATACCGTAAAAACATCGCTGAAGCTCCGTCGAAATCGGTAGCATTATTCTCGCTGATTCTAGAGCGGTAGAGAACATTGCGCATTCGCGCGCTCTTAGCTATGTCACGTTTGATTATTGGTTACCAGTGGCGGCCGGCGTTATTTTCTTTCGGATTATTGAATTATATTGTCATCAAAAATAATTTATCAATCTATCAACAGGAAGGGGGTTAAACTCAAATCTTGACCCAAACAAAAAACAAACCAAGCTTCAATTGAAAGAATATGCTATTTTGGCAAGAACCGTCATGAACACGAACAAAAATTATATTTCAATCATATTCATATCTCGTATAGTTCAAATTATATACGTGTTTCAAATAACATTTGTCTGACTCGAGTTTTTTTTTTACATTCCACTAAATGAACTTTTTGTGAGTGCTGAAATCATCGAAATACGGTTTTATCCACGTTATTCTGAATCCGTCGGCGAGATATAGCTGAAAATTTCAAAAGTTTTGTCTATTGAAAGTGAATTTCAACTAATGAACTATATGTTCTGTATAACTACATCAGTGGGTTAACGTGATGAAATGAATTGTCACTACTCTCATATCTATANCAAATGAATTAAGTTGTCTTTGTTGATAACTATGTGTGATCACGTTATTCTTATTTTATTTAATCTTTCTGTTCAACTTTAAGAAGTAAGAGCAATGTTACACGAAAGGGTGAATGTTGAGCTCGTGTACTTTTGATCCAAGAACTGGTACATTTGGATGTGAAAGTGAATTAAATGGATTGAGAAAATGAAAAATAGAAACAAAAGGAAAATGAAAGTTCGAAAGAATGAAATTGAGCGAATCTGAAAATTAACCAAAGTAGTCGAATTATCTCTTTGTATTACAGAAAAACAGTGATAGAGGCAAACAGAAAATTCCAATGATGAGATTATAAGTGAGCTTGACCATATCCTGAACGATTCGCTGAAATAGATATATAGCAAATCACCAGCACTGTTGTGCCCAATTTGTTGAAAAATTCACCTTTCTTTGGATTGTAAGAATTTGGATTGTTTAGGAAATTGAATGACAATATGATTATATTATCATTCAATTACAAACTAATTAGTTTGCAATCAACAAAGTGCCTATCAACACTGTACCAATTTTTTCAACGTAATATTTTTCAGAAATGATGATTCCCAATTACTCCATATCATTCGCAGTTCACCATGAAATATTCATGTACTTATGTCGTTTTGAATTTTTTTCACAAATGTCATCTACCAATAACATTTTCCTCTTTCCCGATTTTCTTTGATGAAGTTTCATAGATAGATAAATATACATTTATTGATCATACACCAATTCACATTGGATTGATAGATCAAAACAGAACAATGTTGAAATAATAAAACAATAAAAACACTTTAAAAACATTTTCAAACCAAGCAACACTGAAAGTAGGTAGTACACAGTACACTATTCATTGACAGTCCGAAATAAATTCTGAAATACTATAAAATGCCCTAGATAACAAATAACATTTCAATTCTGTTAAATCTTAACAGGTTTGGCTGATTCTTGAAGTCATTATGTAGCATGTTGAAAAAGTTTGCTGCAGCATATTTTGGGAATTTTTTATAAGTCTAGTAGTTGATAATTTCCAATCTGAATTGAATATGAATGTAGGCAAATAGTAATAATTTATACAAATGAATACTCGTGAATGTCAATATTCCCATGGGACCTTCTTCATTTAAACAGCTCTTTAAATTTCTCAACACAAAAAAGTGTTTATTTAAGGTGGAACATAGTGACCCAATGCATTTGTCCTATTTGAAGTTTTCGTCGACAATTGTACCCAAAAACTTTGAAATGTGATTGATGAACTGTTTACATACAGGTTTTCACCAATGGTTCTTCCCGTAGTCGATATGTGTAATTGAATAGCAACAGTCTTCGAGTAGTTTATTATTAAATTGTTCTTCTGACACCACTGGTCGAATTGATTCGATACGTTTTTTGTTTTAGCTATCAGTTCACTTCTGTTGAGGCCAGATATCAAAATTGAGAAGTCATCTGCGAACAAGTAAACCCTTCCATCTTTTACATGTTCGGGAAGATCATTTATAAATAACAAAAAAAATCAGTGGACCCAGGACGCTACCCTGAGGAACTCCTGAGTCCACTAAGCATTCATCAGATGTTTTACACTCTAACTATTAGTTTTCTCGCTTCTGAAAATGAACGGAACCAGTCCTCAATTTTTCTACGTATACCCTGTACATCATACATTTTTGCCAAGATGATATTGAAGTTAAAAGTATCGAAGGCACCGGATAATTCGAAAAACAATCCAATGACTAATTCACCTGCTTCCATCTTAACCTGTATTAGCTGAATGAAATCTCTAGTCGTAGTTTCAGTAGAATATCCTTCTCTGAAACCATGTTGGTTTGGGCTAACATTTTTACCTCTGTCACTAATGAACCCTAATCCATTATTGAGAACCAACGTCTCCATGTTGACGTCATATTGAATTCAAAGTCCATTCAATTATTGAAAATGTCACAACTGTTCAAAATTTTGAGGTTATATTTATGTCGAAGTTTTCTCCGACTCCTATGAAGTGAGTGCACATCACCAAAGTATACACCGTATGATCAGCTATTGCACTTCTCATTCCTTCTTGGGGCTTTCTGATTTGTAAAATAATTGACCGTTGTGGATACATAGTTAATTGCATCATCTAGTCTCATACATACTTAGAAAGTCGTTGCCAATCTGGTCGATCTTCGTTGTTAAGTCTGTCCAGGCCATCGTCTTTTTTCCAGCTCATTTTCATCTCAAAATCTATTGATTCGGCGTTTCCATTTACGATAGTTGGCCGTTGTGAAGACATAGGTGATCCCATTATCTTTTGTCAGCGAGACTATAAAATTCGTTGCACATTAGATCAAACACCTTTGTTCAGCCTCCTTCAAACCGGCTGCAAGCCTTTCTTTCTTCATTTCTTTATTGTGAGATTCTCACCAAACATGATTACAAAACACGAGTTTCGTTTCACGATAGCTTCTTCAGGCGTGTTTTCACACATTTGAAGGAGGAATGATACTCTGACGGAATTCGATTTTCAATTATCGGAAATTATCGACTTTATGTTGATGATATACACTACCTTGCACTGACGAGTGGCCAAACAGCCCGAAACCGGTCTGCAAGTAAATATTCGTATATCATCAAGGAACACCCTGTATGAAGTTGGATAAAATTTGAAACTTCCGTGTTTTATGAAGGTGGAAAACTCTATGTTATTCATTAATACTCATTTTGGAGGGCACTTCAAATGTTTGTTTTGTCAACAGGTGTCATGGTGGCGAGATGGTGAACTTGTCACTGATGAAACAGAATATTTCGAAGATCGACAGAAATCGCAGAGTGTCCTCAGAATCGAAAAGGTTACCAGGTCGCATCTCCTTGCCGTCTACAGTTGTGAAGCCAGCAATAGCAGGCTACAACCTCCCCTGATCGTGCGCACAGCCATCGATATGTACTTGAGACCACTGGAGGTGGGGTTGGTGGGGAACAACCCAGATTTTAGTGCGGGAAAAAGATACAATGTGACTTGTAGGTGTAGGGGATCCAGACCTCCGGCAATCATGACTTGGTGGAAGGTAAGTGTATGCTGCTGACTCTTTGGCAAAACCTTTTAAAATTGTGTACACTTCTAGAATTGTTAATGAAATTCGTCTCTTCAAACTTTATTTCTTTTTTGTTTTGTCACATATACAGTGTGACCATTGAAGTCTGCACCACTAATTTCTGCTTCGATGAAGATATAAATAGTCACAAAGATAATAGCCGCAATTCGTCGTATTCATCAAATTCATTTATCGAAATAAAACGAAAGAGGTTAATTTTTGAAGTAACAAACAAGTGTCATTCTGAGCCCGCGTAAATTGTACATACATTTCCCCGAAAGGGTTTATTGTAGCTAACACATATTCATACTCGACCTAGCTTCTCAACGAAGCTGATTAGTTTGTATGGTGAGTGGTCTTTCAGGTCAGAAGGTGAGATTACGGCTCTGTATGTGCTCTGCTGTTTCATCGTTTTCCAAAAAGAGGCGACATACACTGTTTTCCGACTGTTCTGCATATAATGATTCAAATGACAGTGACCTGTGAGAAGGCCTATTAGACATCGTAGTTCATCTCTACTGTAGTCCAACAACTGTTTAGCTTTGAACGCTAAATAACGTCTTGGAGTGAGCCAATCCTGGAAAATTCTGTCAGAAGTCCATAAATCTTGTTGCCATGCAGGTGTTTAACGTCTGTTTGGCAAACTCTAAAGTGATGCCAATGACAGCTTCTGGTCCGATGAAGCTGCTTGCAGCACCCTCCTCAGTACCTATAAGGCAACTTCATAAAATATCTACTTTCGACAAAATAGATACTGGATACATTATGATTGAAACAAACGAATATATAATCTGGTCAACGGAAAAAAATTATTCCAAACAGATTTTTTCCAAATAGATCATTTCAAGTTCATTCAATTTGAACTCTGGCCATAGGAATACATATTCTTAGGTTGCGTTAGACACCTGTTGACATACTTGTTTCATCCTAATGGTTCAAACTTCTTGCCAAATAGGTAAATATTACATGATGAAATCATCAGCGAATTTTCCTACTGATATCTTAATGCCGTTCAGCTGCAAAATTGATAATTTTTCTTTTGTATATTTGTGAACAGGGTTTAACCTAATGTGCTTGAAAATTGTATTATCATATATGATCAATGAAGCTCTTCAATTTCTGCTTCGATGAAGATATAAATAGTCACAAAGATAATAGCCGCAATTCGTCGTATTTATCAAATTCATTTATCGAAATAAAACGAGAGAGGTTAATTATTGAAGTAACAAACAAGTGTTATTCTGAGCCCACGTAAATTGTACATACATTTCTATCAAATCCTATATGGAACTTTTAGTTTTGATGAGAATTTATCATACACATTTTATTCAGAGCAGCCACATCCAATGTGTGTTTATTTATAAAATCCAGCTAGTTGATTCGTTTCAAACAGGTTACGTTAGGTTAGGTCAAAATTGAGTTCGACTATCCAACGCAACCCGAAAGGGTTTATTGTGGCTCACACATATTCATACTCGACCTAGCTTCTCAACGAAGCTGATTAGTTTGTATGGTGAGTGGTCTTTTAGGTCAGAAGGTGAGATTACGGCTCTGTATGTGCTTTGCTGTTTCATCTTTTTCCAAAAAGAGGCGACATACACTGTTTTCCGACTGTTCTGCATATAATGATTCAAATGACAGTGACCTGTGAGAAGGCCTATTAGTTAGTTCATCTCTACTGTAGTCCAACAACTGTTTGGTATCAAGCTTTGAACGCTAAATAACGTCTTGGAGTGAGCCAATCCTGGAAAATTCTGTCAGAAGTCCATAAATCTTGTTGCCATGCAGGTGTTTAATGTTTGTTTGGCAAAGTCTAAAGTGATGCCAATGACAAGTTCTGGTCCGATGGAGCTGCTTGCAGCACCCTCCTTAGTACCTATAAGGCAACTTCATAAAATATCTACTTTCGACAAAATAGATACTGGATACATTATGATTGAAACGAACGAATATAGAATCTGGTTAACGGAAAAAATTGATTTCAAACAGATTTTTTCCAAATAGATCATTTCAAGTTCATTCAATTTCAACTCTGGCCATAGGAATACATATTCTTAGGTTGCGTTAGACACCTGTTGACATACTTGTTTCATCCTAATGGTTCAAACTTTTTGCCAAATAGGTAAATATTACATGATGAAATCATCAGCGAATTTTCCTACTGATATTTTAATGTCGTTCAGCTACAAAATTGATAATTTTTCTTTTGTATATTTGTGAACAAGGTTAACCTAATGTGCTTGAAAATTGCATTACCATATATGATCAATGAAGCTCTTCATAATTTCATTCATTCGTGTTAATGCGATAAACTTTATGATTTGTTTCGGTACCGAGTTTGATAATTTTACCAAGTTGAAATTATTCAACAGTCAGAATTCGTTCATATCGACAGCCAACTTCAATATATATTCCATATTTTAACTTAGTTTGGATTCATAAAACCTTTCATATTCAATTGTCGATTGTAGAACGGTTTAATTGATTATGGTTAATCATCCAGTTGATGAATATGTCAACGGCAGAATGTAGGTATCGATCGGTGGGTGAAAAACGAATAGTTATCTGTTTTGTTCATCAAATTACTTGAAAAATCAATCAGCAGTTCAATACCCGTCATTTCAGTTTGTTTCTATTAGATGCATCTGATATTAATGAAATATCAAACGAATATATTATATTAGAAAGGATTTTTAATCATTTCTCTAAACAATATTGACATTACACAATATTCTATTTTTTATGATGAGTTCAATTTGTATTATCTTTCAGAGAATATAAATACCCAAATAATCATTTTTGACAATACATTCAAGTATTAATAGTATACCTTAATAATAATATTCAGACACAAAGTGTCAATGACAAATGGAAATATATTCATCACTTTTTTTTAATATTCTGAATTCTTAGTTAGAAAAATATCTGTTTTTCGAAAATTTCTTCGAATATGCAAACGACTCAGTGAGTAGAACTGAAACATCTGATATATGGAATAAACCTATTGAAAACACTTTTCCCATACTTGAACATGAATACTTTCTCTTGATGCGCTTTTNCCAGGCGATCTGTTATGTTTTTTCTTGTCTAATGTAATTGTGAAGAAAAAGTGATTCAATAAATGTTCGATTATTTGATTGATTGAATCGATACTGTTGTTGATGAAAATGAAAGTGTAAATTTTCCAATTGAATTTTTAAATTCACTAGATATACCTGGAATGCCACCACATAATCTTCAATTAAGCATTGGTTTCCCTATTATTCTCCTACGTAATTTGAATCTACCTCAATTATGCCACGGTACGCGTTTGGTCATCAAAAATATCACCAGAAATATTCTTGAAGCAACCATTTTAACTGGGAAGTTTAAAGGAAAAGTGGTCCTGTTGCCACGTATTCCAATGATACCGTCAAATTCTACCATACCCTTCAGAACGCTACAGTTTCCAATTCGTTCAGCTTTTGCCATGTCTATAAAGTCTCAAGGCCAACACATGTGCTATATTTCGAAATATCCTAGTTTTGCTGGAGTTTTGAAATTATAGCACCTTCGCCAGTTTTTGCACTGGACTGGTTTAAAACTTATTGATGGTTCAATCATACGATGTTAATTATTTTAGTTACTTACAGAATAGCTTACTTCCTAAATGGGCTTTGTGAAGAAAACAAAATATCATTCTACTTTTTTGTGTACGATGTTGTCATTGTTCAAATTTGTACTATTTTGTATATTATTTTAGTGGTAATAAGCATGTAATATATTGATGTCTTTTGAGTAATACAATATTAAGCAGAAAAAATGATTGATTATAAAATAATAAGAACTGAAAAATATTGAAGGTTTTCTTATATGAGTATTTTCATGTTTATTAGTATTTATTTTCATATCATCGACATCTAATTTTTCATGACGTCAGAGTTACTTTCAAAGCCACCAAAGAATATAATTTGGTCGTCAGCCAACAATGAAAAAAAAATTGAGATACCGCGCAAAAGTTTCACAGGATTGTTCATACTAACACAATCATACCTATTTACTAGTTTTAGTTCACCAATACAGTAAATACCAATTCAAACATCAGAATAAAAATTCATTGATTCAGTCATCCATATCGACATGTGGTGAATTAGAATCATCTGAGTTAACGTAACAAATAATCACGAATTTTATCATGAGAGAACATAGAAATGAATGGGAATTGTTCAATTCAATTTGGATTTTCAAGCATTGTAAAAGATTGAGTTTTTTACCTTTCTCTACCGAATATAACAATCATACTCGTGATTGAACCCATACCCCTCTGCCTGCCGAAAAATGGTTTACAAATGTGGAGTTGGTCTTTATATTCAAGAAACTGTTTCTACCCTCTTTGATTCTATGGGAAAAAGTACTCCCTGTTTCGCCAATATAAAGTTTAGGACAAAACCACAAATTAACTTATGTAATCTTGATCTATCCTACACTGAATTTTTCTCTTGAAGTGTGGATCTTGCTCTTTCCCACAAAATCAAAGATCATGAGAATAGTTTTTTGGATGCAAAAATCAATTTCACGTTTGAAAACTGTCTCTTGGCAGTAATGATTGTGTTCAGTATCAGTTTAATCATGGCTATGACGTATCATACCAGAGAAAAAGGTTTGAAACTGAATCTTTTCGAGTACTGGAAATCAGTATATTAGAGAATTGGGAATATTCACTGAATGACCATATAAAATTGAATAACTTCCCTTCAATGAATCTGTTTTCTGAAGATGGAATTAAATGATCCGGTTACTCACTGAATGTCTACTTAACTGAGTCTGTTTAAGGAATTATTTTCCTTATGCCTAAATTTTTGAGCAGTTCATAAGTGAACTCAGGTGAGTAGACAGATAAGTAGGCAGGATGTCATATGATTTAAATTGCTAACACGTGTTTTGGTTTTGTGAACGGTTGAGTGGAAATCTCAGAAAATAGTGTTTTCGGAATT